CAGTTGTAGGAATTTGAACTAACAACTCACTTTGAATACAGCCTTCTGTGACACACTTCCCAAGGGACAGGATAACTTCACAGGGTATGACTTATTCCCCACTTACAAATTGTAGCAGGAGGTCTCTTGTTCATTCTGGCTTCCCAGACCTGAAATAATCACTCAGAAATTATATCATTTGAATCTCTGCTTGGCTAGTAGCTTAAGCATACTTTTAGCTAGCTCTTATATCCTGAACTAACCCATCTCCATTAATCTATGTCTCTCCATGTGGCTGTGACTTACTGGGTAAAGTTCCACTGGCTTCTGGCTACATGACTTCTCCTTGACTGTGCCTTCTTTCCTCCCAGCATTCAGTTTAGTTCTCCCCACCCACACCCCACCTCTGTTCTGCACTGCTATAGGCCCAAAGCAGTTTCTTTATTAATCAGTGGTAATCACAGCATACACAGGGGAATCTCACATCAACAAATGAAGCTGAAACCAAGGTTGTGAGCATGTAAGAGCTGTCTTATGGCAGCATGGGCAAGGGAGAAATGCCACTCCCCCTCCCATCAACACCTGAGGCAGATTGGCCCTGAGGTCATAAGAGCTGGAGAACTGTCCTTGCTCCCCCACCAGCTGCAACACTTGGGCAGGCCCTGCACCTTGCATGGACACCACAGTAGAACTGATCCTGTAGGCAGAGGTGTGGAAGAATGGACCCTGAGGATGTAAAAGCTGAACTGGTTCCACCCCTTGCCCATGGCTACAAGGGGTGAACAAACTAGCCAGAGCAATGCTGGAGAGCTCACCTGGTGGCGAAGACAGGAGAAAGCTGGCAGGCTGACCAACCCTGCAACTACCCAGAACTAGGGTCATGTGTTGGCTCACCCCAACATCCACCCCATTTGTGATCTGCTGGAGCATGGTGGGAGGGGGATCGTGCTAACCCAGAGATGCAGGATCTCTGCGACACAGACGCCAACCGGATGTTAAAGAAGAATCCTAGAGGGCCCAGCATCGATGGTGCAGTAGAGACCAGGAGACCTTGAACCAGACCAATGATTCTTCGCAATAAACACCTGTGTGTAAAAAAAAAAATATGGATAAAGGGGTTTACTGTGTGTCTCACTGTGTCACACTGCAGTTTCTGTGATGAAATATCCCATCTTCCTTTTTAACCCCTTTTATTTTTTTATATTTTATTTTGTTTTCTTTCAGGGAAGGAAGATGGGTGGGATCAGGAGGCATGATGTGAAAGACACAAAGAATAGGGAAAAAAAGAAATGGAGCTGCAAACAGAAGTGTGAAGAAATGGGACATCACCGTGACTCACTGCTGCTGTTGCCACCGTTTGCCTGCAGACAATGCTGGCTTCACTAGTAAACAGGGGGCGGTCCCTACTCATCGCCTCTTCGTGGTTTTATGAAGACTGTACAGTTAAGGAACACTCACATGGTGCGTGTTCAATAAATGCATGAATAAAAGAAGTTTTTAATATTTCATTTCCAATAAATTATGGCAGTTGGTGTCTAGCTCATGGGCGTGTTTTGAAGAATACATGTAATATGTTATGGAAAGCGTGTGCTACAAATGTGCCAGTGATGTTCAACATGGAATTCTAAAACCTAACCTGTAACATGTATATGTTACACAACAGATTATATTATAAATCTGGATTTTTATAATATATTTGAAATTTTATTGCATTTCAATTAATTGTGTATGTGTGAGTGCATGCACATGCATGTATATGCACATTGGTAGAGTTCAAAGGACAATTTGCTTGCAGAAGTGGGTTCTCTACTTCCACCATGTGAGTATCAGGGATTGAAGTCACTGAACTCGGCCTTTACCTGCGCATCTCAGCAGACCTTTGTCTCACTGTTTTCTAAGACTTTATATCCCCATGCTGAATCAAGCTTCAGAAGTATGTGTATCCATTCTAAAATAGTAAATATGATGTTCCTGAACAGTATACAAGTGCTCTTGTCTTCTGGAACAGAACGTTCCCCTTCATGATTTATCTGTGTGAGCCTATCTTTGATGAAAATAATAAGCTGTGCACAAAAAAATACTTCATAAATACAAAGAAAAAAAATATTTGTCCCTGGTGCCATGGGGGACTCAACTTCAAGCTTCATACAAATATGATTTAATGAAATCAGGGTAGAAATGGAAGATTTGGGACTTTTGTAGTTCTGGTAGTCTCTGTTTTTACTTCCCAGTTTAACATGAACTTGGCCAAGCATTATTCTTGCTAAATTCTCATTCACTGGCTCTCTCTTTTCCTTCTGGGAATGCCATGTTTTCAGGGTTGTGGATGTCATTACCACACTCTCCGTTCTTCTCCATACCAGACCTATTCGCCTTGACTGCCTGCTTCTAAGGTATTTATTTGATTGCTACTAATACTAATTTTCAACCTCACGAGGATCTTCTCCCAGCGTTACTGACCTCATTTCTTCCTTCCTCCTTGGTGACCATAGCCACCACGCAATCCCTTCTCTCTTGAAGACCCTCCTCTCCCAATCTTCATTCCCTTTCACTCTTTTCTTCTCAAGAGGGTGCCCTCAACGTTCGTCATTTCTTTAGCCTGCACTGTTAACCAACTTGCAAGAAAGAGCTCCTGTCCCTATGCATTCAAGGGATGTTTTTCTAAAGAATATATAGAATCCTTTAGTTGCCAAATCCAATGAATACCTGCCATTATTTTGTTTTGACGTTCTTCTTCCTTGTTGGAAGTCTACCTCATCTTAAAATGTCACATAGGCTTGAATCAGCATTTCTATCAGGCATCCTCTAAAATTACAAAGAAAGAAGCAAAAACATCCCCACCCTTTGTTAGGGCAGTGACAGCCTGTCTGCAGGGTTACGTGACCACCTCAGGCTTAAGAGCCTATGGCTTAAGAGCCTGGCTGCCACACCATATAGAAATAGGGGCCTACCCTCTGGGTCTGCTGTGATGTTGTCTTTGCCTGAGCCCGCACACCCCACCATTCCCGTCTCCTGCTCATCATTTTTTACCAGTACTTACAGAACAAAGTCAGAATGTCTGAGCATCTCATATTAGATTTTCAACAGCCCAAAGCTGCGGTCTTTTTAGCTGCAACTCTGTGTCAGCAATACCTCATCCCTTCTCCTCTTACCCAGTTACCACGCACAGAGACAAAACACTCTTCAACGGATCCTTCTAGAAATCCCCACTCAGGTTTCATTTACTCTAAGCAGGCTTTCCTGATTGTACCGAAAAGACACACTAAGTCCTCCCAACCTTGATTTCTAAACGTAAAATGTCCTTTAGCAATTAAATATGTTCTTTTAAAATACATTAATTTTGAAGCCACTGTAATGACCATAGACTACAAGCTTCCTAAGTAATGAGAGAACACTTTTAAGTCATCAGATGTAATATACATATATAATGTACTTGACACATTGTAGATGCATTAAAGATATTTATGCAACTGGTCCCTTCATCAAGTAGGCCACATCTGTAAGGCCATTATATTTATATTACACTTATTATGTAGTGTGTGTCTGTATGTGTGTGTGTTGGTATAGAAGCAATGGATTTTCATGCCATTGCTGTGTTTTGTAAGAGGACAAGTTGTGGGAATCAGTTTTATCCTTCTACCATGCAGGCTCTGGGGGTCAAACTCAGGTTGTCAGGTCTGGCAGCAAGCATCGTAACTTGCCAATAGGCCATAATATTTTAAAATCGTTTTTATTACCTGTCAAAGAAGGGCCTCTTGTGTGCCAGACACACAACAAGCATTTAATAAGCCCTGTTACTCTAGCCATTGAGTCAAGCAGTAGGCATCTATCTTCACTGATAGATAGATTTCCATACCTCATCCCCCCGGCAGTTACATCATTACAACCTCCTAGGTAACAATTAAACTGATTCTTTTCTTATGAAGTAACCAAGTGAATAGAAGCGGTCTTATAGCTTACATGGAGGTTTTTTAATCTGCAGTATTTGAAGAAATTCAGTTCCATTATTTAAAATGTCTTGGAAAGAAATTATAACATTTACATATCATATTTGCTTTGAAACAGAACTTTTTTTTTTTAGCCAGTGTTAATGAATCTTTACAGATAAAGGACGGGTAACTCCCAAGAACTAGTACAGGAACAACAAATGAATTTGTCTCATATAAGGACCTTTTAAGATCCATTATCATCCACATCTTCCCCAAACTCCGAAAGGATTGTTTAACTATCTACCGATAAAATACCAAGTGCTGGCAGAGGTGGAGGGAGAATACACTCGGGCTTCCTGGAGGAGAGATATACCGAGAGTTTGGGAGAATGTGGGAAGGCACTGAGACCACACAACTGACTCTGCCCTTCTTGGCTGGAACGATCAGGTTTTTACAATTTATCTCTTGCGGCCGAACAGTTTCCGTCCTCTTCAAATAAGCAAATTTGGGACAAAACTTATTAATACAGTTTTTTTAAAAAATATATTTATTATTGATCCATATTTCCATACACAGAGACACTTTGTTTTGTGTGTGTGTGTGTGTTTGTTGTTCCAGGGGGTTTGAAAAAAATAAAGACTATTCTTGTTTCTTCTTACTCCATATCCAGTTTTTAGAACACAGGCTGCTGCAGAGCCAGCTGCACTTGCTGAAGGCCAGAGAGCCAAGCCAAGAGTCAGGCAATTATCAGCCGTCGGCGGCATTTTTGCAGAAATACACAAAACGTGTAGAATCGCTTAATTCTATCCCCTCCTATCCTCTTCACTTGGAAATTGGCTGTTCGGGCACATGCTGTTTTTCTCCCAGGCCTTGTGTCGGGGGGGGGGGCTATTAACACTCGCTCCTGCAGCCGGTTCCCGGGCCATTTGGGATGTGCACGCGTTCACACCAGCGCACGGCCCGCGGCGTCTTCACGCGCTGCCGTTTTGTTTATGCGGAGCGAGGGCCGCCGGGGTGCTAAGGGTCTGCAAGCACAGCGGGCTGCGAGGACTAGATAAAGCCCGGCTGCGACACCGGAGCAATCGCGCTGCCATGGACACCGCGGAGAGCGCCGAGCGCGCGCACAGCCCAGCGCTCCCACCCCCGCGCAGTCTCTGCCCGCCGCCGGCGCAACCCGGGTACCGATCAGCCAGGATCCACCCTCTCTCCGTGCCCGCTGCCTGCGGAGCCAGAGGACTGCTTGGCCCCGGCTCATCCCCACGCACCCTCCACCTCACCCCTCGCCCTGTGCCCGCTGCCCTTGCCCGTGCCCAGTGTCCGTGCTCGGTCCTGGCTGTGTGCTGTGGCCGGGCTCACGTTCTTTACGCGCGGTTTGCGCTTGCCTTCCTGCAGGTCCGAGGGCTTCTGGAGACCTTGGCTTCGAACCCCCGGAGAGAAAGAGAAGCGGGAGGAGCCCCGTGCTGCAGACGCGGTGAGTGACAGACAGCATGGCCTGCCGCGGTTCAGGTTGCAGAGCATCCCCACCCCCACCCCCAACCAGGGCCTGGGCACTAAGGCCCCGGGTGACCTGCGCTCCTAGTAGGTCCATTGCTTAACAGTGTGCCTGCCCCAGGCCCTGTAGGTATGAAAGGCAGGCTGGGAAATTCTCTGCAGTGATGTAGCCAGTTGCAGCTGAAGAGCTGGTTTGAGGAGAGACCCAGGGACACGGTCCCTACCTGAACCAGAGACTGGATGGCACACAACTTCCCAGTGTCTACAGAGATGCATGGTGACTGCCTTTATTCCTTTCCTCCCTAGTTGCCCAGTGGCCCTGGAGTGACGGAAGCCCCAGGAAAGCTTTCTCAGTACCAACACCCTGTCAGGTGAGTCACAGGCCTTACTTAAGGTCTTCAACTCCAGCCCTAGGGAGGACCTGGGGGCATCATCGTGCAGCCTGGTTCAGTAGCCGGTTCTGCAGTTTTTCTTTCGGGGAAGATTTGCCGTCAGTTACTCTGTGTTCCCATTCTGAGGATTCTGTTACTCACAGAATGGGAAATTGTCCGATTTTTCACATAAAAGGACTGTCAATCGGTGCGTGGTGAGTAAATGCTAAAAGACCTGGCAACAAGACAAAAAAAAAACTAGTCAGGAAAGTGAAAGGATGGGGCTGGGTACCTAGTTCAGTGGCAGGATGCTTACCTGCTGTGAAGGACGCTTTGGGTTATATGAAGGGAGATGCCCTGTGCCGGAGAAGTTGTTTTGAATTTTTATTTTATTTTATTATTTTTAAGGCAGTGTGAAACTGTCTGCACAGCATGCAGAGTGTATGTATTATTTTCTTACAAACCAGAAGGAAGAACGGGGTGGACATTTTACAGCATTGTAGCAGGTCAAGCTTGATACTTAAGAGAGGTCAAAGCTGACCTAAGGCTGATCCAGCTGTTTACTGTTTTGTTTGTTTTTTACTGTTTTTTGTTTGTTTTATCTTTTGCCACACAAAATCAGCCATTCTATAAAATTCTTTGTAGTTTTTTTAGCTTTTTTTTTGAGATGAAATGTTTATAATTGTGTGGTGTTCTCTGGGCTGTTAAGAGAAGGCCTATGTGCCCTTGTTAAAGGCCTGGCCTATGACTACGTGTTTATATGTGGTGTACAGTAGTTGATATGTGTTGATTACCTAAATATGCTAAAAGTAACCGAGGGACACAGGGAAAGCAAGTGACAAGTGTTGAAATAGAGTTTATTGTGGTCAGATTTTTTTAAGATTTTATTTTAATGTGTCTGATTATTTTGCCTGCATGTATGTATGTGGACCATGTATATGCCTGGTGCCCACAGAGGTCAGACGAGTGAGTAGGTTCTCCTGGAATTGGAGTTAAAGACAGTTTTAAGTTGCTATGTGGGTGCTGGGACCTCAATCCAGGTCCTCTAGAAGAACACTCAGTGCTCTTAACCACTAAGTCATCCCTCCAGCTTAACTTTGGTCACTTTTGAAGTGAGTTCAGAGTACTAAATACTAAATACATAATTGTTGAAGGGTTGGGGGAAGCTTCAAAGGGTGGATTATAAATTAGTTATGGTTACTACGCTGAGTCTCCAAGAGTCAGATAAGGAGACATTTGGATCAAAAAACACGACACAGAAAATGAGAGACAGGATCTTGGAACAGCATGGCTCCTGCTGGAGCTCCAAGACCAGGGATGTGGTGTAGCTGCAGTGGTGGCAGCAACGGAGTGAAAGGTCAAAGCCTGTACATCTCCATGTAGAGTTGTGTCCAGAGCCCATGCACTTTACTCTGTAGGAGGTGTTGATGGTTATCAGTTTTAGCCAGAAGCATGGTGTAATGAGACTGATGCTTCAGGAAAATCATTAAGGGTCTAGAATAATGACTTAAAGCACCCGAAGTGAAATTGGAAGCAGTTATAAGTAAGAAATGAAGGAGAACCTTTCTAAGTCATCAGAAAGGGAATCGGGACTTGTGGAGATGTAGGAGGTACTTAGGTGACAGAGCTGGGCTTTATAATGCACTGGGAAGGCAGGTGAAGAACATTCTGGATAAGCGGCCAGAATGCCTCCCAAATTTGTGACTGCTGACCAGGTGAGTGCTGTTCTATGACGATGCAGATGCGGGGAAAGAGATACAAGTCTGAAATGGGTTTGTTGTATTGCATGTGCTTTAGGGCATCTAAGCAGGGAGAGAGACACATATATGTCAGGAGCCAGCCTGAAAACCTTCCCTGCCAACACAGGGGTGAGGTCTATGCGTATGAGGGCTGGATGAGGTCATGAAAGGGGGTGAGGGTATCCTAAAGAAGTGCAGAGGGAAGAGCAGACTCCACCTAGCATATGGAGTAAGAGAAGGCTACGGAGCTGGTAGAAAAATCAGAACAGGGAGAACTCAGAAAAGGATAACATCCTTGTAAGAACTGTCCACAGAGAAATTCTGACCAGAGTATGATGATACCAGCTGACCGTTTTGGGTGGGGAAGGTTAGCAATTCCAGTTACATACTAGAACATATATTGGTATATTGTAAACAACTCTTTGCTGAAAAAATTAATTGTAGTTTTTTTATTAAGTTTTATTAATCTCCATCTTGACTAACATTGTTTGTCTTATGATTTTTATTCAGTGGTCAGTTCTTTGAGGGTAGGGTTCATAATTTATTCACTTTTGATTATGTTGGTACAAGAGCTTGCTACCACATTTATTGGATGCATAAATGCTACTTGTTTAAGCATCTGGATTGTAAACATTTTTGTGCCCAATGTGGGTCACAAACCCATGACCTGGAGATTAAGAGTCTCATGCTAGCTCAGTGGGTAGAGCATGGTACTCTTATTTGCAGGATCATGGTTTCGAGCACCGCATTAGGCACCATTATGTAAACAGAGACTGCACTTTCATTTCCTGCCAACCCAGGAAATCACACAGAAACTATATGAATTACAGCACTGTTTGGCCAATGGCTCAGACATAGTTCTAGTTAGCTCTTACTACTTCTTAAATTAACCCATTCCTATTAGTCTATGTATCGCCACATGACTGTGGCATTACCTAATTTTCTACATGTCTTGTTTCCTTGGCGGCTGGCTGGCATCTTCCTTGACTTCATCTTCTTTTTTTCTCTATATCTCTGCTTGGATTTTCTGCCTGGCTTTACTCTGCTAAGCCACTGGCTGAAACAGCTTTATTCATTAACCAATAATATATATATATATATATTAATATATAATATATATGGGCATCCCACATTAAATATGTTATGCCAGAAAATTTATGTAAACTCTGTTGCCTAACTTCCTGTCTTTTAAAATTGAACACACTAAACACAATATAATCTTTCCTTGGTTAGACTCACTTAATTATGTGTAGACAAGGTTCTTTGCCCTACACTAAAGTGACTTCACAAGAGTTGTTAGCTCAGCACTGTCTATTTCTCTTCTTTGGATGAAAATTTAAAAAAAGAACACCATGCCAGATCAATAGTGTCAGATTTTTAAAATTCTGCGGTAATGATGTTTACTTGCAAATTAATTGTATAGAACCTCTATAACTCTCAATACATTGATATAGTGTTCCCAGATTCAGTTGGATGGGAGAGAAGAGGGATTGGGAATAAAGACTGGTGTTGGAGCAGCCTTTCTACCTAGCTAGTTGTGGAGGCATAGATAAGCTTTTAAAACTACTTTTCATGTACATTTCTGATCAAGTGTATTGGCTATATCTATAACAAAGAGCTATACCCAGAGGTTTTCTGCTGGACAGTGGGTGATTGCTGCCTGTTCAGGGTCCAAGCACCCTGTCCTCCTAGTAAAGCTGGCTGTCACTCACACCCACGTCTTTGGAGCAGTGGTGGATGTTTTGCCTTCTAAGGAAATTTAGAAAATGGAAGTCTAACCTACATTTTGTAAGAATAAACATACACATAACTCGTGAAGCAAGATAAGCGTTGATCTTCTGCTTTAGAGGTTACAGCCAGTTTTAAATCTAACCCATAGCTTGATGTAGATGTAAGAGAATCAAGCATTTATTTGTACTCTGACAGGCGGACTTTATAAATACCGTGGTAGTAGCAGTTTTAAACTCTGCTTCTCAAGGCTGTCGCTCAAATGTGTAAACAAATTGTTAAGCATAGAGAGCTTATGGGAATTGATCATTCCGTGGCTATCAGGATCCTGACTGTAAAACGTAAGGATGGTGTGTCATCTGCTTCTTTCAGACTGTTCTGGCCCAAGTCCAAGTGTTACGATTACTTATATCAAGAAGCAGAGACTCTCCTGAAAAACTTCCCAATTCAAGCTACGATTTCGTTTTATGAAGATTCTGATAGTGAAAATGAAATTGAGGGGCTGGCCTGTGAAAATCAATCTAATTAGTTACTTCTGATGACAATTGAGCTGGATAGGATTTGAATTTTGTGTATAAATGTATCATAAATTTTTAAAAGTTATTTATTTGTATATAAATTGTTAATAAAACTATTTTGTAATCACCAAGTGTTTCGGCTTTTCTTTGTCCCAACACTAGAATTAAATGTTGGGATTTAAGCTAAGCATCACTGGGCTCTGGTACCCACAAAGGATACTTTTGGTCTTTTTTATTAAACTGAAAATTTATCCTTAGTTACGATTTTTCAAAGAGCCATAGTACTTGTTTGCTTTTTGAAGACTGGCTTTTGTAATGTCTGCTGTTTGTTATTGATCTCAATTGGATGTTGTAGTTATAGATGATGTAATCTTGGTAGTTAGTGAAGAAAACTGCATCCTGCGATGAGTGTTGTATATACTAGTATATGTTTGCTAGCTGATGGTGGAAATGCTCCAGTTAATCTTATGTCTCTTAATTTTTAAGGACTGTAACTAAGCAGTGGGTAGTATGACTCTCACCCTAATTCTCTCCTTTCGTCCTTGATCTGGTGTTCAATACTTACTGAAGGATTCCTACAATTAAAACAAAATGCTCGAATTGGAATTATTTGTATGGAGTACAAAGAAGTTCAAACACGAAAGTATGTTTTCTTGTCTTAAGTAAAGCTAAGATTTTTTGCAGACATGAATTTTAACATTATCTGTTTTCCCTTTGCTCTAGTTCCCTATTTACAATATTCTCATATAAATATTTTCTTATGGGAAGCAAAACAAATTCCCAGTGGTTTTTCTTGCATAGCCATCACATAAGAAAACTTACCCCATAATTTAATGAGGCAAAAAAAATGGGCAAGTTTCATGGTTAGGTTGACATATAAACTATAATCATGATGTATTTTTAGTTTATACATCATCAAATCAACAGTTCAACTGCAAGTAAACATTTTTATTAACCTATAATCTGAGCTACTTGTGAGGACGAGGCAGGAAAACTACAAGCTCGATGCTTGCCTGGCAATATCTCAAAAAATATTTTCCTGCAATATTTGCGAATAAAGATGTATAAGGTAGAGATGAGAGATAATTAGCCAGCTAAGAAGTACCTCCTGCTTGAATGACTAAGCGTCTTCACAGACCTTCTCTTATGATATTAAAACATAGTTATCACAACTTTGACTGTCAGGAACTCTGGAGACTACATAATAGAAATAAATAATGTGTCCAGAGTCAGGAAAAAAAAAATAGTACCCAGAAGAGATTGGATAGCGTTATTCAAAACTGTTCATTGGGGAAATGTTCTCTTTCTGTTGGATTCTACTCTGTGGATCTGTATATTCTCTCAGATTATGTAAAAGAAGGCCCAAGACATCACCAGCCCAGACCCACAACATTAGATGCTTCCCTTGCTAACAAATTAGGATAGTATAAGGTGCCCTGTCTTTTGTTAGATACCTATTACTAATCATATAGGCAGTGTGGTTTAGATATGGCATTTATTTCTACAGAAACCCAAGCAGTAAGATAAATATTCCTTTAAGAAACTAAAAGCCTTACCCTCTCTAAGGAGCAGATAGTGGTGGGGTGCGAGGAAGGCAGAGGGAGCAGGTGCTGAGGAGGGAAGAAGAGAAGGATGGAAGGGGTATTAGTATGTAAAAAATAAAAAACAAACACAGAAACTCACACAAACCATTAAGTATAAGAACAACACCCAAACCAAATCACTCCATTTAGGGGTGAGCTCCCCGCAGATTTCAGGGAAGGAGAAAAGCTATGGGGGGAGGAAGAATGTATGAGTGTGTGGATGGTGTGGGAGACTGGAAACGTCCTTTACTCGTTTTCCAGATAATGCAGAAAGGTGAAGTTTTCTCTGTTGAAATAGGAAGCGGCGGCGGGGCTGCGTCCCCAACACCCCGGCCGCTTGGCTAGCTTATGCCCGAAATAACAACACACAAACTGTATTCATTTAAAGAACTGCTTGGCCCATGAACTCTAGCCCTTACAGGCCAATTCTCGCACCTGGACTAGCCCATTTCTAATGATGTGTGTAAGCACCCCAAGGTGCGCTTACCGGGAAGATTCTAGCCTAAGTCCATCGTGGGTTGCAGCTGCCTGGGAGAGCTGAGCATGGCGTCTCTGCTCCAGCAGAGCTGTCGGGTCTCTC